AAAAAAAAAAAAAAAAGAATTAAGGCTAAAGTTTTCTTCTGAAGATCCAAGTTTTGGTTTGTTGTATTAATTTGGATTTGTTTGATTTGCATTGATTCTGTATGAATTGCTAATTGTAACTTTTCCCTCCCTTTGACCTTTTATTATTATTATTTTTTTTTTGGCTGGGGCTGGGTTTGAACCCGCCACCTCCAGTGTATGGGGCCAGTGCCCCATTCACTGAGCCACAGGCGCAGCCCTGACCTTTCAATTATTTGTCGAACTTGCAAAAATCCTCAAAGGAAAGGAGATTGGGTGCTTTACTGCGGCTGCTGCGCCTGGGAGAACACGCGGACGCAGTCTCCCCGGAATGCGGAGAGGAGCGGGGTTGTCTTCTAGGGGAAGGAACAAAGGCGGCCCAGGGCCAGCGACACGTTTGCTGAGCTTTGGGAAGCAGGGGGGGAATCCGGTCCAAAGGAACTGTACGCGATCAGACCCAGCTCAGTCCGTCGCACCCTGTTTTAGGAATCAACGACTCAAAGAAGGAATTTAGAGGGAGTGCAGAAAATGATACAATTTCTGACACTGTATTTCTTTTCCCTAAACTAACAAAAAAATCTTTATGTCAGGAATTTCTACTTGATTGCATTGTGGCCCAAGAATGTCGGTTGAATATTGTAGACTCTGAAAATTGATGAAACTTGTCTTAAGACTAAAGTACCAGGCCGGGCTCAGTGGCTCATACCTGTCATCCTAGCACTCTGGGAGGCCGAGGCTGGTGGATTGCTTGAGCTCCGGAGTTTAAGACCAGCCTAAGCAAAAGTGAGACACCCTGCTCCCACCCCCCACCCCGGTCTCTATTAAAAATAGAAAAAACTAGTGGCTTGTGGCAGGAGCCTGTAGTTGCAGCTACTCAGGAGGCTGAGGCAAGAGGATCACTTGAGCCCAGGAGTTTGAGATTGCTGTAAGTTATGACCCCACAGCACTCAGCTCCAAGGTAACCGAGTGAAACTCTGTCTCAAAAAAAAAAAAAAAAAAAGAAGTACCAAATTCCTTCTCCTAAAAGATTGTAATGTTTCCCAGTCCCGCCACCAAAATATGAGTTCACTAAGGCAAATCCCCTCTGGTGCCAGATCCCCATGTTCTAACTTTTGCCATTCTAAGGCCTAGTACTATTTTAAGTGCTTTAATTTACATTTTTCTCAGTACTTGTGCAGTTGAGGCTATTTTTTCTATTTGTTGGCCTTTTAGATTTCCTCTTTTGCAAATTTGCAAATTTTCATATCCTTTGTCCAATTTTTGGTTCTTTTTTCTTATCGTTTCTCTTTTCTTTTCGGTCCTCCTCTCCTTCCCTCCCCTCTTTTCTTTTTTTTTTTTTTTTTTTTTGAGACGGAGCCTCAAGCTATTCCTCTGGGTAAAGTGCCATGGCATCACAGCTCATAGC